AACATTAGATTAAGTGTTAATCCGCCGACTTGACTGGTAAGATTATCGCATAACTTCGCCATGATTGAGGTCGTTTGTCTACATTTCATTCCGTTTTCACAGGTGCGGGAATGTTTTTTAGGTTGGAACTTGTTGGTACAGGTGTCGCATGTGGAAATTTATCACAGGAAACGGAGACCAATGCGCGCAAGCAATGTAGCATGCTGCCTGTATTGTCTTCGAGTCGGTCAAATCAATTGTCCACAGTGGTATATGTATGTGCATCTACAGTGCATCACATTATTACATGTTTTGAGATTATTTACTTTGATGATGTATGCCTTCTGGCTGTTAGGTGTAGTTTTTTGTGTATACGGGAGATACTAGTGATTCATGGTGTGGAAGTGGTACACGGGTGGCCTGCGACTAAACTGTACCTTCGTTGGCTCCACTTCCTACCTCCCCGTTTCTTACGTCGTCCACTCGTTTGTTTCTGTAAATGCTGACTGACGATGGTTTGGTGCCACTGCTGGTTGGCTAGGTGCCGTCATGCAGCACTGGTATTTGTTAAATGTTGGCAGTCCTGATTTTTGTGCTCATTCGCATTCGTTCGTCACATCGACTGAGTTAATGGATTCTTGTAATGCACCATGCCACTTGTGTTCATATTTTTTGGTGAAAGGAATAACTGGCTTGCGTTTGCTAAGTACTTGCGGCATTGTTGTTGTCCTGGCTAATGAATGGGGAAAGGTTGTGCAACTGGTTGTAGTGCGTATGCGCGTAGTATTTTCAATGGTTACGAGTGGGATTTGTTTTTGGTGTTGTTGGCGTTGTTGGGATCTTTAATTCGAATTATGATGGAGATACTGTCAGCGTTGAATGAAACACACTAGATGTTGATTGGTTGTGATGCAGCAAGTTGCGTCAAAACCTTCGTAAGTGTCTTTGTTGAAATATATTTCTTACCTCCAAACAATCCTTCCTCCTCCTCTTCTTCTTCTTGTAACTTATTTGGTAATTTAGGCGCGGT